CGGCAATTCACAGGCGGCTTGGCAGCATTTATCTTTCATCTCCTGTTCATGTCCATTGGCAGCACGACGCGCTTCCCACTGCCTGGCTGACATGCCCTGAAGCGGCTTTCTGATGGGATTGGCTAGACAATGGGAAGCTCGGCTGAGGTTCACAGGTCAATGAAGGAACACAAGCATTCAGGCCCAATGCGTTGCCAGTAGTAATTGTCCGGACGGACCGGGCTAATGCCAGCTGTATTCAGTAAGGCTTTCACGTCGCGCTATGGCAAGCTGATAATATGTCATTTGCCTGCCACAATTGTGCAGCCCGCGTCTGTGCGTGTGCATGCCAAGTATCCCCCTTCATCACCAAGCTTGCACAAAACCCTTGAGCAGTTGCTTCTTTCATCAATACAGCCAGTCACTCAGCCAAGTCAAGTCAAATCAGTAGCTTATCTCCGCCTCAGTAACGTTTCACGCCAACAGTGGCATCAAGCCTACACTATATCAAGGCACAAACCCTCTTGCAATCACACATCAATCTCTCCGGGCCTGATAGGAACGGTCCCGCTTGGTCCTCTCTGCTGTCAAGGCCAAACAGGTCAGCGGCCACTGCACAGCCCCAGTTGTGCTTATAGATACGCCTTGCAGAGATCAGAACCAACAAACTCTTCACGAGCGGTACGGGTCGCGTACGGAACCGCGGAGCTGCCGGTCACACTCGAAGCAGGCATCACGCTGCTTTCAAAGAGGGTACCGCTCATTTATTCATTCACGACCTTCTCTCGCGGCCCAGAAGCCTTTGCCATAGCTGATGCATATCTCCTCGCCGCGCTTGATTGGTTTGGAGGCGCTGTAGATTGCCAGTCCGATAATGGGCCGCGTTTGGGCACCTACGGCGGGTCGCGCAGGCTTGACGTCTGACACGCTGAGGTTTGCCAGCGCTTCATCGACAGCCAGGTTGCTCGTCTCACTGATTGATGACTCTTCTTCGGGTGGCGCAGGAGAATGTGATGAGCCCTTCTCGGTGCCGAGTGCTTTAACAGCGCCCGCCTTGCTGCCTCTGCTTGCGATAGCTTCATCTTCGAGTGGGGAAGCACCTCGAAGCTGTGCTTTCGTGAAAGCAAGGTCTCTGGTGCCCGACATCGGCGCCGGCCGCGCGATGAAATCGCGCAGCTCAGCATTTGGCCGATTGAGGATATTTCGATAGTCGTTGCAGACTGACAGAAAGGGCAACGTGAGCATACAGGCAGACATCACGCTAACGCAGCAAGGCTACTCACAGCGAGCGATGCTGCCCGCGTGCGTTGCATCGATGGCCAATCTCTCTCCAGAAGGTCCTTCCAAAGCGAGGTCGTAGTTGCTGGCCGGATCGCTCTCTGCCTCTGTGTGCAAGATTCCAAAGTAGGGCGCAATGGGAGTGCGAGGTGGAATATCGATGGCGGCGAACAAACCATACTGACCTGCAGCTGGATGCAACGCAGATGCCGGCACGCGCAAAAAGGCCGCTCTGGCCGCGCAGCTCTGCGAGGAGTGAGGATCGTCGGGATGGATGACTTGGCAGAGATGATGCAGGTTGGGTGGCAGACCTTTGGAAGGGATGCAGGCTACATCTAGCCTCCTCAATCGCCGTTGAGATGGTGCGGCGGAGTCAACGTTGTCGTTGTCATCGCTGCTGCCGTCGTCCTCCTGCTGGCCGGGCCAAGGAGCGGACTGGATGGGTTTGAGTTTGATCTGTGCGTTGGCGCTCGCTGCAGCCCGACCTTGCTTGCTGAGGGGGTGAGGCGTAGGTTTCTTCTGGTTGCGCTGATCGCCGCCAAACAGGAAACCCTTGTTGTGCTTGCTTTGCGGGTCTTTTCCGTGCTTCGTCATCCTCCTCCTCTCTTTCAGCCTGCCCCTACAGTCGATGGATGGGCCTCTGCGCTTCCTGCAAACGAGAATTAGAGCGCGCGCCTCTTGTGCACCTTGTCTCTTGAATGTGCGCGCTGTCTTCCTAGAAGATCGCTTCCATCGACTGGCTGTGTGGCACGGAATGACTGCGTGAATATTCCCCCTTGCAATGCAGTAGATGCAGTCGCGCTTCCAAGACGCATTCACATTGATAATTGGGTGATGGTCATCCGTCAAGCAAGCGAGCGTGCAACAGACTCGACAAAGTCGCGAGGACCTCTGGCCGCTGCT